TATATATATATATATATATATATATATATATATATATATATATATATATAAAATTTGTTTGAATAAAGTTTTTTATCTTTTTAATCCTTTCTGACTGACATCGAGGCTTGGTAAACTTACGACCACTTACCCACGAGCGTACGTATCTCGGGAAGTTGTTTGCTCTTGTCGGAGTAACATTCTACTCGGTTCGCAGTTAAATTGGTAAAGTTTTAAGTTTTAACGCTTATATCACCGCCTGTACAATTTTCCCACCATCATCCAAGACGCCAAAACCCCTAGCACCAGCAGAGTACACACATAGTGGATTGTAGCTAGCTCTATAGATGCCACATAGTACACAGACATTTCCTTTTACCTCTTGTTCTCTTTAACTTGTAATCGTTGAGACTGCAGCACGTCGAGAGAGCCGAGAGCTGAGAGTCGAGAAAATTCCTAGAGAGAAAGAGCACCATGGTGTCATCCTAACTCAAATTAAGCCCAACTTTTGACGAATTCATTACGTTAGAAGTAAGCAAGGAATGAGAGTTAGTTATTATGTAGAATCCTCGTGATAAAAATGGAAGAAGGTCGGGGTAGGAGGAGAGGAAAGGATCGACTTGTGTGGTGTGCAGGGGATTCAAATAATCGCGGTGGTTCGATTCACTGGGGAAATGAAACTCTTCTCATTTTATCTACCTTTCATTTCTTTTGGGCTTTTCCGCGTATCTGACTACGATAAAAAGGATTTTCAAAGCTTTTTTCCTGACGAATATATTTTTTTCGTTGGCTGAGAGACAGTAACTGTACCACAGTACCGCAGCCTCCTTCGCCAAGCCTTTAAAATCTCCGGCTTCTTTTCATAGTCTGAAAATGAGAGCATTAGCATTTAGAGCGTAATTTTCTCATTAGTTGTACAAGTGCCACTTTCGTAAAATAAAGTCACGCCTTGGCAATCGTCATCCCAAGAGTCCCGAGAGCTTTAAAATATACATTAGAAAACTTTAAAATAAAAAAAAAAAATAGAGTTTCAATAATAAAAAATGCGAGGCATTATATTTTTTAATTTACAATTATATCACGTCTTAATAGAAGAAAGAAATAAATAAGTGAAACACGATTTTCGTAGACTAAAACTCCTGGCAAGACTTACTCGGGAAAGATACTACAAGAATTATGGAAGGATTTAATTTCGATCTTTACCTTACAAGCACGTAATTTTTAGCCTGAAAAAAGTTAAGAATTATTTACTGGCGTTAGTCTAGACTTTTGGAAGCTTCGTTGTACTATTGCTAATTGCCCTCGATTCAACTTGATTTGTATCATGGAATTAAATAACTGAAGAAAGATATTACTCTTCTTTGAATCTAGAGGGCGGTGTTACGATAAATAATTGGTAGTGTAAAAATCAACTGACGTTTATTGTTTCCAGTACAACTTTAATTTATGGCTTTAAGTACAGCCAATGTCAAATAACACAACTTTTTGTGCAGCAGACACCAGACCGAGTTGTTACTTTTACTACAAATAAAATTAGTCGGTGATACTTTAGTTAGAGGAATAAGGATTATCCTTTCAGGTAAAGTAAATAAACTCAATTTGTCGTTATTTTCTTGAATTTGGACGTATACACTTTACTCTCAAATTTTACTTCTTAGTCGTAAGACTATTATGTTGACATATGGGTACAACATCGACTGTTTATGCTCTTGTTATTTATAATACACATTTAATTGATAATTTATTTTCATTTAATTTAATTGTATGTTCTAAAATTATATTAGTACACTCCGTTTGTACCTATTTAATTAGGTTTTATTTTATATATGCTTATTAGCATTTTCGACCAAAAAACGATCATTATTTCGAAGTAGGCTCCACAAGATTTCAACTCATAATAATAATAATATTTAAAATTTTTTTAATTATCACACATTAGTAGATTCCATAGAAATATCTCATCAGCTCGTCAAGCCGATTCACAAAATACATGTGATTAAAAAATTTCTATATGTATGAAGCGGCTTGTAACAGCGATATTGTCATAAATTGCTATCGACTTTTAATTAAACTCATAATCGCGGTCTATTAGATTTGAATGATACTAATTAAAAATTTTCAAAAATTTCAAAATATCAACTATCTGTAGTTTATTCTTGAAAAAATATTCAAGCTTAAATTTTCATCATTCCATTCTCTTAGACTGAAAATCACATACTCATCTATTAGTATTTGATAAAATTTTATTATTGCATTCGCTCTAACAATCCTGTTATTTTTTTGTAAATTTGAGAAATCTCCCTCCATTTCGGCTGCTAAATAGCTTGTTTTAATTTCACGCTATAAAAATCAATGATTTTCAAAAAATCGGAAAGTTATTGTTTTTACTCCGTTTTTCAAAAGTCGAGTTTTCATGAAATCTCGATGTTTTAAGGTCCTAGAAGCTTCCCTGACTATTTATAAGATTGTGTGTGTGTGTGTGTGTGTGTGTGTGTGTGTGTGTGTGTGTGTGTGTGTGTGTGTGTTATGGCACTAACCGCGATCAAATTGGCCAAGCTTTTCAAAAGTTATGAGAGGTTTACATACATATAGACGTATAGTGATTAAAAATATTTACAATAGTTTTTTAGGACTTCAAGTCGTAGATATCTTATGGAAATTCAATTTTCGAAAATCGGAGTGAGATCAATAATTCCATAATTTTTGAAAATTATTGATTTTTATAGTGAGTAGTTAACAATAAAAAAAACCATTGATTTTTATAGCAAGGAGTTGAAAATATAAAATAAAAATAGCCAATTATAGAGTGGACCCTACTTTCGAATAATTACGAAAATAACAAGTAATTTTTGCGAGTATTAAAAATTTGTTCAACTGCTACCTAAAAATATGAATTTGCTTGCGTTTTTTATTATTATATTTTTCATTAATCTGTAATTTCAAATTATTACTGCGCTGATTAGTAACAAGTAAAATATACTACAGAAAAAAATTGTATTCGCTTTTGCAGTCAGATAAATAATCATAATTTACACTCATGTTTTGAATTAGCGATTCAAAATATTTACAATAATATATTATAACTAATATTCATTTAACTATCTCGTCTTAAAAACTCTCGATCAAATTTACTTTACGTTTATTTTTTGAGTGTTAATTCATAATATGATGAGATATACATGTACATATGATGAAAACATTACCAGTGAATCGGGAAATCGAATTTTAATTTTTTATTACTAAATTAATTTTTGTTTTGACAAGTTGTTAAAGAAGTCAAATCTCCAAAGTTACTTTGTACACAAAAGAGTTCATTAATCGGACAGATTTGTGTTATCGAGCTTTATCGGATGAACCAAACAATCAGATTAAAATAGTATAAACCATAATTTCAAATTGAATTTTTTTTTTTTTAATAATCGCATTAACACAATAAATTTAACTCTTGAAAAATAAATCGTTGCCAATTATAAGCTCGACTACTCCCGGTAATTATTATATAATGTATTTATCTATATGAATATTATTATCGCCAACACTAATGTGTGTTTTGTTCTTAATTTTAGTAATTATATTTCATTATAATAATTAGTATTTCTCTATAAACGTCAGAGTCAAATTTACAATTTTTAATTGTCTATCCAATATAATAATGAAATTTTAATTACAGATTTTCTTCGTGAGTCACTAGATTATACTTATTAATATATATTATTGTTGTTATTGGTTATTATTATATCATTAATCTTATTTTAATAATACATGTATATTATAGTTAAATATTAATCCTTTTATCGTATCTTTTTACTTGCAAATTGACTTTCTTCTTCTGTTTCTTAACGTAATAAGGACTTTTTCTTAAATACATGATTTTTTTTTATCGAGTATCATAAAATTCACATCACATCACATTATTTTATTATTATTATTATTATTATTATTATTATTATTATTATTATTATTATTATTATTATCATTATTATTATCAATCAGTTGTAAAAAATTGTTACGTTCAATATATATATATATATATATATATATATATATATATATAATTTATCGATATAAATAATGAGGAATGTGAAAAAGTGAATAGTAAATTATTTTTTGTCAATGAACGTTTTTTGTTTATAAATGAAAATAAAAACTATTCAATTAGAGAAAAAGAGACTCACGAAGAGTGATTATTAAATTTGGCAACGAAGAAATATTTATCAAAGTATACAATTTGCTAAATAGAAAATAATTTTATAAAAATATATCAACAAATCATGAATATATATTCTATCAGTTTTATACTGTATATTTTTATATTTTATCGCGACTGTAACATTATACGTTGCTTCTTTACTTGAATATACATTTACTATATACATATTACAAATTCATTTGATCAAATAAATGTACAACAATATATATTTTAAATCTAACCTTCAGCATCTATGTAAACGAAAGCTATTTGTATCAACTTATCAAACATTATATTTAAATATATTTAATTATAATTATTCATGATAATATTTATTATATCCACTGTTTCTCACGACTCATGAATAATAATTTTACTGTTCATTTATTTTTACTACACAATTATAATCGATTTAATGATACAAATGCAATCGCTTGAGTAAAAATTATCTATACAAATATTTACACCAGTGATAAATAAATTTTTATTAATATATTCCACCGATCTCAAACGATCAACAATGTTAGTGTTTTTTTTTTATTTTTTAATTATTTATTTTCTTTGTCAATAATTGGAATAACTTAAACTAACTACGATATAGTTATTTACCGAAAGATCATCTAATTTCCTTTCGGGTTTGTAGCCATAATCGTATCATTTCCTATAAAATCAATTTGATTTTTGCGAAATTGAATTAAACGGTTGAATAAAATAAAGAGCGTTGAATCCCCGAGGCCAAGAGTAGCAAGACTTGTGGTTACATGAACAAAGAGGTGTTGAATTAACGTTGTTGAGGATAGAGTGTGATGAATACCAGACAAAGGAACAGTGTTGCAATGTTACTGTTAGAGATGCAGTCACCACTAAAACTAGATGTACGTGTGACGCTTACTGACACAGATGCGTCAGCGACGCCAGCAGGTGAACGAACAATCAGCATCCACTCGCCTGAATGTGACAATTGGACGGCGTCAATTTGTAATGTTGTTTTGAAACAAGCATTTATTTCACCATTCTGCAAATGAAACGGAAAAAAAATACAGATAATTCAAATACAGAAACAAAACAAATCCAATGGTCGAGATTGAAAATAAAAATACGCGGCCTTTTTTTATACTTTTTTTTTTACATTTTATAAGATGTAGGATAAAAAATAGTATCAAGTATTTAGCTAAGGTGATCACGTCGTTCTATCATTCATATATCTCACCCGTTGGTCTTAGACACGCCACAACGATAAATACCACCTAAAAGACTATATGAGAAGGAAGGAGAAAGGCATAAAAGAAAATAAATGCATCGGACGAGATTTTCATTTTATCACGTACAGGAATTTCACTAAAGAAGATAAGGATTTTTTATCACCGTTTTAACTAGAAGGATTAACGATTTGTATTTGAAGGTGTTATTTTGAAACAAGCATCAACTTTATGTGATGAAGGAATTTTAGTGAGATAATAGAAAGGAGAAGATACAATTAAACGTGTGAATTTTAGTCGATTTTAATAAATTTTTTTTCTAAAGTATGAATCAGTCGATATTTTTAAAATTTAATAAATAGTTTATTATATTTTAAATAACAAGAAAAACTTTTTTTTTTTTTTAATTTTAAAATGGTCAATTTAACGTCCAGTCTTCTCGGAAGATTGCAGTAAAAGTTATTGATTTACAGGACTTCTAGCCTCTGCTGTACCAGTCTCAAATAAATAAATTTTTTTTTGTGTTTATTAATGTTATACTATAATTTTAAATTGCGTTTGTGTATTTAGAATTCAACCAATACGGGATCGGGGATCATATTTTTGATACTTCAATACTGAGTTAATTTCATATTTTTTCATTCATTATAAGTTAATAAGTTATAGAATTGCGTAGTTGAATCTAAAAAAACTTGAAAAAAATTGCAAACTGAAACACTTTATATTTTGCTTTTGGAGAAAAAGAATAAGTTTTCAACAAATTTTTCAAGACAAATAGGTTTATGTGGGTCATTTTATAAAAATCGGTTGACTCCGTGTAACTGGTAATTATTCAGTGACTACCCATTATATTCAATTCTTATAATTATTCAGAATTTATTTTTATTATTTTAATAATCTAAGATACTTTATTTAGTGTTATCAATTCATTAATTTCAATTTTGAACAAATTTATATTATTTTTCTCCCCTCCGTGCGGAAAGCGTCAATTTTCCGCCCGCTGCGCTAAACGAAAATGCCGCTTTCCGCCTCCGTTGAGGAGAAAAATAGTATTCTCACCACGGGCAGGAAATAAGAAAGCCTCAGATCACATGTTTGTTGACCTCGGCTTCGCCTCGGTCAACAATTACATGTAATCTGAGACATTTCTTATTTTCCTGCCCTAGATAAGAAAAATACTATTTTCTTAGTCCAAAATACTACTTTAATCGTATAGGTAAGTCTAGAATGTTTTACATAAAATCTTATAGATATGATTTCTATAATTTCGTTTATGTTTTAAATAAACTTTTGAAAAATCGAGGTTTACGGATCCAGTTTCTGACTCTCGTCAATTATGAAGTTGCAGTTTTTAGTCTTCAATATGGTCCAGTTTCTGACTCTAGAATTGAAAATAACTCATCAGTGATAAGTTATTTCATCACTTTTGACGTTATTTATAAAAATTTACAAATAATTAAACTTCATGAATATTGAATTTTAATTAAAAAAAGAAAAAAATTTCTTTTTTCACTTTTAGCAATTTTTTCAATGTAAATTTTTATTGAACTTGTTAATAAAAATAAATAAAATGTGATACATTAAAAAATTCAGTAAAGTATATTAATTATTACTCCAATAATTATAAAGTGGCAGAGATAGCCGGACGGCACACGTCTAACTTGGGCGATCACCCAGCTAAACAGCATTGAGCGTGGTTAGTACTTGGATGGGTGACCACTCTAGTCGACGTTGGCTAGCGTGAGAGATCTCTGCACACTAGGAGAGGGGCCTAATGCTCCAGTGGTCGATAAAGAAGAGTTTCTTATCGATCACTGTAGACTTAGCCCAGCTCCGACTGTACTAGCATGGGTTTTCTCTATGGTTTTCCCATGTTACTGTTCTAACAGCCTAGGAGGTAAGGTTCAGGGCAAATGCGGTACAGAAAGCACAAGTTGGTCCACGTTGCAAATATAGAGTGAAGGAAAGTGTCGAGTGGGACTTGCTGAGGTCCAATATGAAGAAGAGCAAGTAAAGCGTAAAAGCTAGGAGAAAAGAGGGAGATCGGCCTTGTAAAAACCGAGAAGGTGTACAAGTAAAAATCAATAAATAAAATACTCCAATAATTATTTAAATTCTAACAAAATTTAAATTGTTGGAACAACAATTATCTCAATACTCAAAATAATTTTTCTTGAATCACAAATATAAAATTTGTCCATTATACTAATATACTTTAGGTTTTACTTATATTACTTTTGTGTTTCACAAGGACCTATAAGGTTATGATCTTTTTCTGAACTTTACTATTCTCTCCACTTAGTCATCTCTCTCCGATTATCTCTTTTACTTCCCTCCACGTGGTTATTTCATTTCATTATTTAGTCACACGCAGTAGATAGTTTGACGGCTGTAGCCGACTTACATTTTACTGTATACTCACATTCACCTGTGCTTCACCCTAGCACAGTGACTAGGAAAACCACACTATCTTAAAATGAATCGGTGGAATTTAGCTTAGAATATAAATAAATTATAGAAAAATTCAGAGTCTCGTACACGGAAAAAAAAAAAACTGTAGCTGCTACAGGTCTTAGGCCTGTAGCGTGTTCCTGTAGCAGCAACAGGTTAGGCCTGTAGCAGCAACAGAAAAAGCCTGTAGCAGCTATAGGCCTAGTTTTGTAGCTGCAAAAGGATAAGCTCCATTACAAGTTTTAAATTTAATTTTTTTGAATTTTATTTTTAAGGTTTTTCATAGTAGGACATTGATCATTTTTAATGTGTTTACGTTAAATAATTTTATTCTTATTTGTTATTCCTTGAAAATTTTTTAAGCCTAGACTGACAAGCGCGACCTAACAACTTTGGTCAAGTGATGAGGGATTTACCGTAATGCTTTTACAGCGTACAGTTTTGCCAGTTCATACACGTTTGACAGGCAGAGACTAAAGGTGTTTTTGGCAACGCCGTGGACAAAAAACTACTTACGACTCTGGTCAAGCAACGAGGAAAGCCCCGCGAATTTTTTTAAGAAATTTTTTTCAGCAATTTAACGTTTTCGAAGATGTTTGAAAAAATTATTAATATATCCTAAAATGATCAAGGAACAAAGTCAAATTTTTTTAAATAATTTTAGTTATTATTGAAAATGTAATAAAAAAAAAAAAATTGTTTTCATTTTATTTTTAGTTCAGCCGTTGACACTGTGTCTAATCAAAAAGTAGCTATCAAAAAATTGGCCCGACCCTTTCAATCGGCAGTACATGCGAAAAGAACCTACAGAGAATTACGAATGCTCAAACACATGAATCACGAGAATGTAAAAAAATTTTTTTTTATCATACATAAATTTTATTTTGTCACTTTAACTGATAATGATAAATAAGATCAATATTTATTTACAATTGTTATTTATTTTAGGTGATCGGACTGTTAGATGTTTTTCATCCATCAACTTCTTTAGAAGACTTTCAACAATTGTTAGTACAAAAATACGTATTGTAAACACAAGTTATCCAAGTATATTAATAATGGCTTTAATAATTCATTTTTAACAGGTACCTGGTAACCCATTTAATGGGAGCTGATCTCAATAATATTGTAAGAACCCAAAAACTCTCGGATGATCACGTCCAATTTCTCGTTTATCAAATCCTGAGAGGATTGAAGTATATTCACTCAGCAGGAATTATTCACAGGGTAATACTTTATTCTCACTATTTATTTTTTTTTTCATGGTTAAGGAAGTCCTTTCGCTTCAATTGAGTCACAATAACTGTAGTAGTCAATATTCGATAAATTAAAATAAAGAATGAAAATAAATCTAGCAGATATTTAATAAATTTTAGAATTTTTTTTTTTTTAAATAAATTATGGCAAAAAAAAAATTAGAAAAAAAATTGACATGTAGAAATTTTAAAAAACAAAAAATGCAATTTTTTAAAAGTAATTTTTTTGAACAAATTTGTTTGTTAAAAAAAATTTTTTAAATTCTCTAGTGACTGCTAACTTTAATGTCATAAATAAAGAACCCATAAAAATTCCTAAAATAAAAAAATAAATAGTTCATGAGGCGTTGATCGTTGAAATTTTGAAAATTAAAAAAAAAATTAATTTGACTCTTGTAAATCAGCTGTTAGTAACCTGTCCGTGATTTGGCAACGCTATATTTTGGTTTACATTTTCATTTGCACAATATAATCTTAACTATGTTTAAGTTTTTGCAGTCAATGTAAATAAATAAATTAATTAAAAATGTTTAATCGCAAAACCATAACATTCTAATGTTTCATGGCTGGAATGCTAGTATTTTTTAATTATTGTTTTATTCTTCAATTATGAAATATGAAAATTTGTTAACAATAAATTAACTAATAAGTATTGTATGAAAAACATAAGTGCGTTAAAGTTTAGTTTGAATGTATTGAATTGTCTGAAGCTCGCGCGCTACGCAACGTTGCCAAATGTTCTAACGCTATTTAAATGTAGATTACTTAAAAATCCGTGATTTTATAATTTTAATTTCTCTATAAATTCCACGGCAACCTATATATTTTATTGCAAGAAATGAAACCTGAATATTTTGAAAACCTTTTAAGTTTTTTTTTACCCCATCTAATCGGTGGTTAATGCCATAATTCGAGAAAGTTGTTAAGGTAGTTGTAGCGTGAAAGGCATTTCAACAGAAAGTTATGAAATTTTTTTTTATCGAAAGATAAATATATTAATAATTCACTACCAAAATTTCTGATTAATTGACCGCACCGTTTTTGAGTAATTAATTTTCGAAATTGCATCTTTTACACGTAGAGGTATAGAGAGATGGTAAAGTTAGTATGAAATCTTTGGCCCACTCGAGTGGTACGGAAGATTTCATATACTAACTTTACCATCTCTCTATACCTCTACGTGTAAAAAATGCGATTTCAAAAATTAATTACTCAAAAACAGTGCGGTAAATTGATCTGAAATTTTGGTAGTGAATTATTCATATATTAATCTTTCAATAAAAAAAATTTCATAATTTTCTGTTGAAATGGCTTTCACGCTACAACTACCTTAATAGTATATTACTTACCTATAAGCTAGTAAAATAAGAAAAGTCTCAGATTACATGTAGTTGTCCTAAGCGAAGCTGAGGTCTACAAACATGTGATCTGAGGCTTTCTTATTTACTGGCCAAGGTCAGTATACTATTTTTCTGCCCTCCGGCCAGAAAGTGGCAACTTTTTAAACTTAAATAATAACCTATCATTATAAGAAAAAAAAACTTAATTAGTATTAGCAAAAATTAATTCACATATTTAAATGTTAATGAGCCGAGGTTCATTACGCTGGAGCATAATTTTATAAAATGCTTAATTTTTCGAAAATTTATTATAATTTAAGTATTCTTATAAGGTAAAAGCCCCAATAGATGATTATGTACCAGTATATGATTACTCCATGTATTTGTATGTCTATATTCACAAATATAGATATACAAAGACATGGATATACCAGTATATGATCACTTAATGTATTTGTATATCTATATTTGTGAATATAGATATACAAATACGTGGAGTGATCATATACTGGTACATGAGCATCTATGGGGGCTTTTACCTTAATACTATAATTTATTGATCGAAATCAATCAATAAAGTGTAATGGAAAAAAAAAATAAGTTCTCTATTTACTTATTTGTTATTTAATCGATTTTTGTAGCGAAATTTCAGTGCAATTGATAAAATTCATTATGAATGTTCACATCCACCGATTCGAAAAATTTAGTTTTGAAAAAAAACGCATGTTACGCTTACGACGGTGCTTGATTGCAATGTATAGCAAGGAAGCGCTCACAAGTTATACGACAAGAAGTAATTTTATATTAAACTAGCATTTTATAGAAGAACAACCGATTTTCTGAAAATTATTATTTGTATCTTCTCCTTGATTTTTTTTTTTTATCAGCGATTATTGTGATGTCCGCTAAGTAATTAAGACTTGAAAAGAGAATTATAGAGATTAACGAAAGTTAGAATAAAGTTTAAAGGAGATCTTAAAGGTTTGTAATGTTGAAAAGCGTGGCCTGCAGGCAATGAAACGAAGTGAGTGGAGAGACATTGGAGGATAATTTACCTCGACTTCTAAGACTCGAACATCATCTCGGGCGTTGCCTCCGGGTACGTAGACACTCTCAGAAGACAGCCAGAGGAGCTTGGTATAAGATGGTTCTGCACAAAATTCGACAGCGACTTCTAAAGCGTCTCCTTCCTTTGCAGACACCGACTGCATCGTTGGATTTACCATTGGTCGACCTGAAATATAAATTGAAATCTACATATTTTTTTATAAGTACACATGAATAAAATAAAATATATTTACATTAAATCCATGTACCGATATTGCTTTCGGTATGTCACTATCAATCTGGTTACTCTTGTCCTATAAACTTAAATAAATCCGCCACATGCATCGAACCTCGTAAATAGAATTGAGTTGTGTCGTATTTGCGTTTCATGAGTAATTGAATAAAATCGGTCGATCGAGGATAAAAGTCCGTGTAGAAAAGCAAATACATTTTCAACGTTAAATTGAAACTCGGGAATATAAAAACAAAATATATATATAAAAAAATGAGAAAATATCAAGTCTAGTTTTTATAAATAAGTGTAAAATGATATTTACATGGCAACTAGTTGGAAAAGAGTTCAGATGATATAATTAAAAGTAGTTGAGTATGCACTTTGGTTAATTGAAGTGTAGGATATAATAATAAATTTTTTATTTTTAAACTCTATGCTATGAAGACTCGTAATCTGCATGGATTTGCCGCTTCGTAAAATCAGCTTTCTGACCTCCACCGATTCATTTGCACTCTCATCTCAAAGTAAAGTGTATATAGTACAGAGTAAAGAGAACACATACAAGTTCGGTGAGAGTAGAGTAATTCATGAATATTCCTGCGTAAAATTACACTTGAATATATCTTGAATAACGTTTTGAGAATATGCTAAGAGAAACATGTATGTGAACAAATTTATAAAAGCATTTATCAAGAACTGAATTTCATTAAGTTATATAATATAATTGTCTACGATTTAAATAAAATGTTTATATTTTCAGTAAACACTATAACCAAAAAAATTCTATCGATTTATTTTTTAAGTTTATTGTGTTCCATTGATTTTTGAATTAATTCAATCAAGAATTTCACATTTTTTATATAATGCCTTTATTTATTCAATCTACGCTTAGTTACACGTTATCAATTTATGCGTGAAATCATCAAAGGAAGTGAAATCAAATGCTATTATTTCCAGATCCACGGTTATCGAGAATGTTCATAATCAATTGAACTTTGATTTTGCTTAACGTGTGCTACATGTCATGATAAAATATCATTTCTAATTATTTTTATTTCTTTTTTAATTGCCCGCTAAGAAAATTGAAAATTTTCAAAAATCGGGGTTAATGGTTTCACCCCGTTTTGCGAAAATCGAGTTTTCATCAGATCTCGATGCTTTAAGGTCACAGGAAGCTTCCCTGACTAGTCCGCGATGGTGTCCATGCGGCTGTGTGTGTGTGTGTGTGTGTGTGTATATATATATATATATGTATGTAAACCTCTTATAACTTTTGAACGGCTCGACCGATCGGATCGAAATAGGTGGCGAACCAAAGAGTATCATTGCCATTAAATTTTGTGAAAATTTGAATCGAGTCGGCTTGCTAGATTTTAAGAAATCTCAAAAATAGAATTTTCAAAAAATCGTTTATTTAGAATAACTTCTAAATGACTCGACCGATCAATTCCAAAAACTAATCCACTCTTAAGTTTGAAAAACCACGTCGATTGTCACCAGTCCCGTCAAAATCGGTTGATTCGTTCGAGAGTTGTCGAAAACGAGAAATTTCGAAGAATGTTTTTTTCACATAACTTCGACTTTTTTTTTTGGATCGTTTTTGATGAAATAAAATAATAAAATAAAATAATACGTCGATCGCCACCAAGAACGTGAAAATCGGTTGATTGGTTCGTGAGTTATCGTTGTCGAAAAATTTCGGAAAAAGTGAATTTTTTTACACGGAAAAAAGAAAACAGGAATAATTGACTATTCGTTCAGCATTTTTTAGATTTTCAAATAGTAACCCAGCGCTTCGTTAACGAAAATGTAAAAGTTACAGCTTGGCGCTACGCAGTAAGTTTTACATTTTGAGTAAGAAATATTAGAGTTTCACGATGTATAAAAGTTACTATCTCACACTGTAAGTTTTTGTACAAGTCATTGAAATAATACTCGATAAGCGTTAAAATTTAGATTTTTATTTAACAAGTTTGAATCTGATTTTTTACACGTAAATAAAAAAAAAATATCAATATATATAAAATATTTTTTTTCTCCCATTAATAATATTCACTACCTCAATATTTATATCCTAATATTACAATAAGTAACAATCTGTCATATATTGAATTTTAGTGTGGCAAATATGGAAAACGGCAATTCTAAAGTCTATATGTGAAACAAAAAAAAATTTTTTTTGAATGAAATTTAATTTTTGGTATTGGTTATTCATATATTCATGGGACATATTTCTTATCATATTTATTTTGGAAGTTTTTAATTTGAGGAAAGGGAGAGGGAATTAGTATTAGGAAATTAGTTGATCATATCACACACATACTCGCGTTCCTTATATAAATAAACTTATAATAATATTAAACGCAAATTACCCTAGCCAGGATTCGATCCCAGCATCTACGCATGAAAGACCGACGTTTTATTCTGACGCTATTCGAACGACATAGCATTCTGTATAGTAGAGTGTAGTTATAGGCTACAAGCGTAAATAGTATGCGTCAACAATAGTGACTGAAAAAAACTAAGTCCAATTTATACGGGAAAGGGGATAGAATTCTCTACCGCTATTCAAACATTGCTGAGCCAAACTTTAAATTTTGGATTTTAAGCAGTAAGTTCCTGGCTGCTAGAGTATTGACTGTACTTAATATAAAAAA